AAAACGGTTTTCACGATGCCAATGAGTTCCACTTGGAAGATGCTGCGGCGGTCTGGTACCCTCATGCTCTTTCGAACTAACTGAATGTATCGCCGAAGGGAATCCACAAAATCAAGGATCCAGAACATTTGGATTTTCCCACTCTAGAATTCTTGCGGTAAAGAGATTATTAAGTCAGAAGCTGGCGATGTTGTAGTCCAGCTCTTTCGGAAACTATGAGAGATGTTGTATTTGATACGACGTAGTATCAGAGAAGATTTTGTATGGCTTTTGAGATAGTAGATGAAAGGGACTCATGTTATGTAGCTGTCTCTCCTATAGACAATATTAGATTCTAAATTGCACATCTTATCTTGACTTTGTGCCGTGTTTCGTCTCTAATTTGCTTCGCTATCTTAAGGTATCCCGAGATATTTGACTGTGGTAGAGGGAAGTTTATTTCACATTTTAAAAATATCATTTACGTGTGCCTCTTATAGTGTGCCGGGAGATATCAACACTCCATAACAGTGAGATGATAATATATCTAAGAAAAAAATGCACAAGTTTCACTGTGAGCTTTTCCTGATGCATTTCTTGAAGAGCTCCTAGTACGCATTATAAATATTAATGTTGAAGACCGTCTATTTCAACGAAGACTACTAGCGCGTATTCTATATACTATTTCGTTTAACAACTTGCCCTTACTGACGAGGTGTTGTCTTCTTGAGTGGCTGTTTGAGAATTAGTCTACCAAATATATGTTTTCGGCGCACCTAAATCTCCCGGTGCGGTAGGTTACGTAGGTTTATAAAGTATACTTGGCTGGTGTTACGGAAACTCTTAGGTAAAATTAAGTACTTCTCACAAGGATTTAGTTCTAAAGGCAGAGAAAACATTGTAGTCTTCTCTTTACATCTAAGCTATGAAGTTACCATTGGCGGCAGATCTCCTGACGGAAACCCTCCAGTAAACAAAACGTACACCCCAGGATTGGCACTCTGTGGACTTTTCTGTTTCCGTATATGGTCCTCTGAAGCCAGAGTTACATTTCATTACAGATTTCAAACGCTAAAAATCACTTTTCTGATTTATAAGAAGTATTTACACTTATATATATACATGCATACATATACAACTTCTTATAAGCTTACAATATAATCATTGAATCAAGTAAAGCAACTCGTTGAGGGCTTCACTGCTGTCAGCCAAGTGAGAGGCGAGTAGCTTGCCTCTAAGCTTCTGTTGAACGCGTGGATGATTTGAAAAGCTGAAAGCAAAATAAGAAAATAAAAATATTAAAAACTGAAGCTGCTAGCAAGCGTGATAATAGTTGCAGTTCGCAACAACAAAAACAGCATATTTATACACCAACAACAATCAATATGCAATCAGCAACGCAGCCGCTTCATAGCCATCAATCAAAGTTGTTGCTGTATGTCCAGCAATTTGTAATGTATCTTTTATGACTTTCTTATCCATCAACTATTGCAAGTGATCAACTACCATGTTCTTTCTTAGTCTTCTTCACCCACAAGACGCTGCTTGTTTTGTGCGCGCCTCTAGTGAGTCAACAAGAGGCTTTGGAAAGCAGCGCGCTGTCATTAGCGGTAAGGAGGCGGACTATATATAGAATACAACATACAATATGACGACGGCCGTACTCTGCTGGAAAGCTACTCTCATATAAAATCTCATATCAGATAGAGAGAGAGAGGGCGGCCGCGATATTTGAATGGTTAGCATTGCGTACTGCCTTTCGTTATACTCGGGTTCATATGTCATGGTGTCGTACTAACAAACTACGCTAAAATTTTCTTATTGCGGTCGCCCCTTGGCAGAGTATGTCAACATCTCCGAGTGTATGTCTGACATGAAAATCAAAAGCTCCGCATAAAAATTCAGCAGCAGTTCGGAGGCGGCTTAGTATAAACCTTAGGTCCCTCTATTTGACCCACAAAATCGCTTCAGCGGTTACAAAGTGTATAGGACCTCAAGAGATCTGATGATGGAATTGTGATAGGGAAATTCGAAATGATACTAATTTATAAAACATAAATGATTATCTAATGTGTGGAAGCCAAATGCTCAAAATATCGATAAAGTAATGGAAAGTCTGGAGTCTGATCATCTTACGAGCACTGTTCCGATTACCCAAGAGCTAAGCATTGTTCAAAAAACAATTTGGAATCACTTTAAAAAAGCTGGATACCCCAAAAAACTCGATGTATGAGTGCGAAGACTTGCTATCGCAAATATTTTCAAAACTCCGCAAGGGGATCTGCTATTAAAAAAAAATCGATATACCAGTGATCTAAGCGATCTGGAGGCAAATAGACCCATAGCTCTTCAGCTGCTTTCACGCTTTACGGCACAACTCTGATTAAAATTAAGAGGTCTATCGCTAGTCCATAAGAATTTCCATTAAACGAGAAGCTTTTGATCCAACCATTACTAGATTCTGTCTGTCTCGTTTTGTCAGAGTTATAATGGGTAATTTTTTGTGAGCTATAGGAAAGTTTTTCAAAAATAATCGTATATCGAAGCGGGCTGGTCTGCATAGACATTAGACTTAACATAGCCCCACAAAAAAGTCTAAAGGCGTTAAATCGCACGATCTAGGCGGCCTATTGACCGGTCCGGAGCGTGAAATAAAATGTTCACCGAGCTCGCCACTAAATAAGTCCATTGCCACAAGTGCTGTGTGGCATGTGGCACCATCTTGTTGTAACCATCTCACGGTAGCGCTCACTATTCACCATTCATGCGTACCGATTCACATCATCTTTGAAGCAGTTCGGTCCAATGATACCACCTGCCCATGAACTGCACCAAACTGTGGTACTTCATGCAATGCTTCTGGTTGATCTCCATTCCAAACTCGACAATTCTGCTTATTTACGCACCCATTGAGCCAAAAATGAGCTTCGTCGCTGAGCAAAATTTTTCGATAAGGAAGCGCGCGATAAACTTTGGAAATTGGATAAATAAATTCTATTCATGGTTAAATTATAGACCAAACTGGACAAGTTTCACACTAATACAAAGAACGAAACGGGCGTCAGCTGTTTAAACCAGTGTTGTCAACACGATGATAGCTAAAAAATCACCCTTTAAAATGATTCTCTTTATAATGCGGCAACGCGTTTATGTTTTTCAATCGCAAACGTAAAGCCAATAAATAAATATATTAACAAATTATCAGTAATTGAGTAATAAAAATTAAACTTTACCTATTTATAGATTATTTTTCGACGAGTGCTTAAAACTGAGAGGAAAGGAGGTCGCTAAACTTATAGATTTATATTATATTTATAATGTTTATTTTTCTTATCGCGCTTAAGTGTTTCACAAAACGCACTTAAATTGCTTTCGCTGATAACTTGGCCATTCCATATGTGAATGTCTGGGTGCCAGCTCTATCTGGTTTGAGGTAGAGGTTAAAGATTCAATATTTAATAGTTAAAAGCGTCATCATTTACGCCTAGAGCACAATTGGAAAGTTTTTCGGCACAGCTTAAGTGAAAAGTGGAAAGGGAAAGTAAATTTGAACAACAATCTAGGGTTACCTTGGAATTTGTTTCGAAAAAGCCTGCCACCTAAAGCTAGGCATTTCCCAAATTTCTACACAATTTCGTAAAGACGTCACTTGCCGCTTTGTAATCGCTAAAGCGGTTTTCCAGTGAGCTCCTCCTCTAATTTGTGAGTTTGCGTCTTGATGTTGTACCAACAAGTGAAGGGCTGTACTGGATATACTGCCTTCGAACTGGTTTAAGTAAGGAGCTTTGGTTTTATGAGAGAAGTATACTCGGAGTGTGTAATGTTTTCTGCCGAGGGACGACCGCATTTAGTAAATATAAGTTTCTATAATTTTTTGATGTTGGTTAAACCAGAGCTGGATGGACGGGTTCAACTGGTAGTACGTAATGCTAACCACTCGGCTATTGCTGGCTTTTTACGTCTTACAGCTTAATTTCTTTTGACGTGGCCCGTTCATTCGTGTAGATCTCATTTAGCAACATGAGCTTCAGGTTATATTATATCTAGGGTACACTCCCGGTTGTCATTTACTTTCCACAACGATGCGCTCACAGTCACAAATCTCCATTCTGCTAATCATGAGGAGTCACCAGTTGCCCATAAGTTACCACAATCCCTAACTTTTGCTAATTGCCACAAGTCGCTTTCTTCCGATCACTCCAAAAATTCTGCAGATGACCAACACTCTCTACTTCTTCTTCCTCCTTATGGTCAACGCTTATCTCATCATAGATAAGATAGCGCACCAATGATTCTTCCTAAAATCTTAAAGCTAAGCACAGCGCAGGCGATGTTTTGATGTGACCATACGTTTTCCGGTAAAAGTTTCTCTCAAAAACTCCCAGTGCCAATTCAGATGATGACGATATCGTCCTCGCTTCTGCACCAGGTAGAAGGGCGAGAATGATGAACGACTTGTTGAATTTAGTTTAATCAAGTGTCAAAGCAGGCTTCACTTTACAGTCTACAGCAGCATCCGTTGGGAGGAATAGTCCTGCGTAGTTTAATGCTGAAATTAAAATTGTCCATGGAACTTAGATAGACGATATTGCTCTCGACTTTAAAGTTATAACTTTTCCGTGAAAACGCGGGCTGTTTGCTTAATATTTCTTCTTGTACTCATTCAAACCAGACTCGTTTGCTTTCGTCTCCTACTTCGAAGCAGTCCTTAGATCTCGACCTCTCGCCTTTTCAGTCCCCTTCTAATTTCTTGAAGTCAAAAGGAAAAGCCCCTCTAATTCGTATATACATTGTTTAAACAAAACACACGCCACTCTACTACAACAAATATATACAATAATTAATTTAATCTACAAATGATTAGTGATAAATAAACAGTTCATTAGTGAACCAAACCAGATTCAACCAGCTACCCTCAGACGGTTTCAAATAAAACAAAAAATATTTACAAATGTGCTTAGATGCACTCTTATCAGGAACTAAACAACAGTTCAGAGATAGGAAACGATGATTTCGAGGTGTGCGAAAATATGTTCAGTAAGCAGCAAGCAGTCAAGCGTTCAACATTCCTCCAGTCTTCTAATATTTACTTTCGTTTATTACTTTTCGAACGGTCTAACGGTGTTAAAATGGCTTTATTCATGACTTTTCTACTAATCTCTTGTCTTGCGTTTGGATTTACGGCGCTTGGAATTTTATATCTGCGTTGGTATTTCAACTACTGGCAAAAACGCGGTGTACCGGGTCCTCGACCGCAGCTATTGGTCGGCAACTTTCCGAAAACCACAATGGGGCAGTGCAACATGCTCGAGGAGTTGCATGAAATCTATCTGTATGTATTTTCTAATTTTTCATTTAAAAATGCATTTTTTTCTTTTATAAAAAATAATTATAAGATTTATTGAAAATGCAAATTAATATTATTTTTGATTGTATAATTATTATTTTTATTTTTTAGCGAATATAAAACAAAACATAAATTTGCTGGTGTTTTTGCCGCGCGCACGCCCAAACTGCTTATCTGTGATCCTCAATTGGCTTTACAAATTCTAACGCAAAATTTTAAGAATTTTCATGATAATGAATCTTCTCAATGGGTGCGTATAAATCGGATATGTGCATACATACATACACACATACATAAGTACATTTAATCACTAAATACGTAGAAGCTGAGTTACTATATCAATTCAGTAGTAGTAGTAGTAGTAGTATACGAGTTATTGTATTATCAGTGGAAAGTAATTTTTGTCTCACAGAAAACAAGACTGTATCTGTATATTTATCTAATGAAAAGTGGAGTAAAAATCTAGTTTCTAAAAAAAATTGGACTTCTTTACCAATGCAATGATTGTCCCACGGAAAACGAAACGGCATCTACACATATATACAAACGAGACTGGCAGAGCAGCAACACTTTTTTTCGAATTCAGACAAGCCACTCAAAAGGCAAAGTCATTAACTACAGTTAACTTAAGTAACTGCTTTGATCCTTTCAATATAAGGATATAGATATCCTTACAAAAATATTTTGAAGAGAGAGTCCGACAGGCACTTGGCTTATAAAAAAAAAAAAATAAATTTGTAACAGAAAATCTGTTTTTTGTTGTATTTTGCCTGATTAAAAACATACATATATAATTTTTAACTAAAAAAACAAGGACATAGTTATCCTTGCTAAATTATTTTGAAGTGATTTTCAACTAACAGAAAAAATAAAAGACACGAGCACTTGGTTGATAGAAAAATAAAATTTTTAAATCTTCTTTAAAATACTTTATAGCACATTGAATAAAACTTTATATTATTTTCAGAGTAGCGCCAGAGTTGAACAAATGCGTTTTTGCAGTCCTTTCGTGTCTATTGGTGAAGATTGGAAAGCCAGACGTTCAGAATTGGTGCCCGCATTGACCGTCAATAAGGTAAACAAAAATTTAAGGGCCAAATAATTTATTATTAAAAAAATTTATAAATTTTTGTTTTTAAAAAAATTAATTCAAATATTTAAAATAATTAACATAACGTTTTCATAACCTCAAAAATATAACTTTCGTTCCCTCCAGATACGCTCCTTCTACACAGCAATGCGTGACAGCGCTCAGAAGGCCTGCGACTTCCTCACAGCTGTGGGTCAGCAGCCTTTAGATGGCAAAGAGGTGTGTACTCTGTCCTTACTCCACCACATAGTAAGCATTCACCTAGCTGTCTCACTTAACCTTTTTAGCTCGCCAACCGCTTCACCGCACAATTCATGTCCAATTTCATATGGGGCATCGAAGGCAACGCCTTCACTGTGCCACAAAAAGCAGCAGCCACTGCAACGCTCTCGCCCGTACACCGCATGGCCAGAGATATGATTTTGCAGTCGGCAGATTGTGTACGTTACTACAGCAGCACAGCAGCTTGGCCTTGGCTGCGTCTGCTACGTCCCGTACGTTTCTTTCCCATCACCGCAGACCGTTTCTTTCAGCAACTACTCACAGACGCGCTCAATGTACGCGCCCAACAGACAGCGGAGGGAGGCAGCATGCGCGGTGATATGATCGATCATTTGCAACAGCTCAGAGAGAAAAAAGCCTTAAATGGCGTACAAATCGCTGGACATACAACAACAGTTTTGATTGATGGCTATGAAACGGGCGCGATACTGATTGCGCATTGCTTGTTGTTGGTAAGTGAGAAGCAAGATGATGATGATGATTTTTTTTCTCGTTGCTAAAAAGTTGTGATTTCACTAAGCGACAGTTTTAAAATGTCTGTTTTATCACTCTTCCTCCACTCTTTTTCTTACCGCTAACAGCTAGCGCGCAATCCACGCGTTCAACAGAAGCTCAGAGAAGAGCTACTCGCCACCGACATCGCTGACAGTCTTGATGCACTCAATGAGCTACCATACTTGGAGCAGTGTCTGCAAGGTGCATAAGTTTATACATTCGGTACATTTTCGATTTTTAATATTTTTTGTTTCTCCAAAACTCTTCAGAAACCTTACGCATATTTCCGCCTTTACCGACACTATTCAAAATCTGCACTGAGCCCAGCACTTTAACCAAATCGAATGGATCCACACTGACGTTGCAGCCCGGCGACGGCATCTACATCTCCACCTACTCTTTCCATCGAGATCCCGACTATTTCGAAAATCCCGAAGAGTTTTGGCCCGAACGTTTCGCGGAGGAGTTGGGCGGCGTGCGCAAATACCGGGATATGGGCGTTTTCATGCCGTTCGGTGATGGGCCACGCATGTGTCCAGGTAATGCATTTATTACATATGGATCTGTAAATAAGTAGAGTACTTGTATATATACACGGCTCTCATGAACTATGTTTCCTTTTCTAGGCATGAAATTAGGTTTGTCTGAGGCGAAAGTCGCCGTTTCTGAGCTGACCAGGAATTTCGAGATATCTGTCGGTGCTAACACACGCAACGATAACAAAATTGCCAACGATTCATTTTTGCTAATGATCGATGGTGACATCGAACTCGAATTTAAGCGCATACATTGATATTTGTGGACTTTCGAAAATGGGGGTTTTGAAAGTAACCAAAAGAAATATATCTAAGTAACATATTTTTGTGATATTACTCATATAAAAAAATTAGCTTTTTTCGGCTCATAATATATCTTGTTCCATTTTTTTTTTCGCTGAATTTGAATACCAAGAAGGTTTGTAACCGCTGAAGCGATGTTCGGCCGAGATTCTCCTCCAATTTGAGGTTTGCACCTTGATTTTTTTCAAACAAAAGGAAGGACAGTTCATTTTAAGCCGCTTCCGAATGGCTCAAGTTTTTTTACGAGGAGCGTTTCATGTCAGAAATGCACTAGGAGAGAAATTTGAATTTAAATTATTTTTTGTATGAAATTCAGGTTAAGTCATATTAAGTCCGAAAGCTCTCTAATATTAAAAAATGTTTTGTGTCGCTGCAGTCGTGCAATGTTTTAATCTGGTCTTTGTTTCCAATTGGTATGTTTCGGGGTGGCTGCAAATGCTCTGTGATGACATTTCTCTTCGTAAAATAAAAAATGAGCATAATTTTATATTATTCTCTACGCCAATTGAATATTAACAGCTAAGCATGGCGAAAATGTTCTTGACCTTCACAATCACTCAGGGCGGTGAAAGCTAATGTCATTAAGTGAATAATTTAAACAATTGTGTTTGTGCGCTAAATGCATAATAAAAAGATATACACACTTATGTATATACACCTATGAATATAATCAAATATTTATATATGTACATACACGTATGCTTGTATGTTCACCCCATATCATTTCCACAATGTAAACAATTACATGACAAAATTATTAATCAGAAAGTATAATCAAAATGTCAACAGAGAAGTCGGTAAGTGCAATCGTACTTTCACATATAGTATACACTCGTATAATTTAATAACAATTCATCCACTTATATATATATATATGTTTGTCTAGTAAAAAGTAAGTCATTATTTTTGTCATTGATGGCTTTAGTGATCTGTATCTTGCGTTCTATATGGTGCGATGGCGTTACAAATACTAACATTTGTACTAATAAACAGAGAATAGGCGCACTGTTGATCACTTCACTCACAAGTGTTTATGAGCATATAAAATATGGACACCAGGAAAGGGCAAATACACTACATATATGTACAATTTTTCTTCGCTTAAATAATGGAATTCGTCTAGGCTAAATTTCGTGTGAGCACTATGTCGATTGCCCAGTTTGGAATAACTTGAAAAAAACCTGGATGCACAAAGCGCGATGTATACGAGGTGTGTTCAAGAAGTATCGCGAATTTTGAATTTTCGCGGTTTACGTGTAATTGAATTTCGATTTTTTTTGTGGCGTTATGTTGGTACTCATGCCTGTCACTTATGTCGACAAGCTCGGCCATTTTGAATGTTCACTTAATTGTTGAAAGCTGCTTTGCTTGCACGTGTTTGGGATGGTCTCCGATTTTTACCTATCCAAAAAAAATATCAAATTTTGTGTGAAAAACGAAATTAAGTGCGCGGATGCATTACGAATGTAGACTACGCCATACGGAGAAGCTACATTGGACCGAAGCAACGTTTATCGGTGGTACAAAATGTTCTCAGAAGGCCGAGAAGATGTGAACGACGAAGAGCGTGCTGGACGCCCGAGCACTTCAACAACAGACGAAAAAATTATTTGCAGTGGCGTGGTGGATCATGAGTTCTATCCACAATGTAGAAGGGTCAATAAGGAGTATTACCAGCAAGTTATGCGTCATTTGCGCGAAGCAATCAGCCAGAAACGCCCCTGCTCACACATCGTTGCTTGTGCGCGACTTTTTGGCCAAAAACAACACACTAATGATGCCACAGCCACCGTAATCCGCAGATCTGGCCCCTGTGACTTTTTCTTGTTCCCTAAACGGAAGAGGCCCATGAAAGGCCGACGTTACGCTACGATTGACGAGATAAAGACGGCATCGAAGGAGGAGATGGAACAAGATAAAAAAAAAACGATTTTTTGAAGTGCTTCGAAGATTGGAAAAACCGTTGGCAAGAGTGTATATAATCTAAAGGAAATTACGTTGAAGGGGACAAAAAAGATATTCATAAATAAATAAATAATTTTTGAAAAAACACAAAATTTGCGATATTTTTTGAACTCACATAATCTAAAGAGAAAAAACTTATAAGCAGAATTTCCATCTGCAAGCCGCTGCCCAACTCAATATGGGCAAGAGTTTCTATGAAAGTGGCGTGATGACATTACCTTTAAAATGGCAAAAAGCTATCGAGCAAAATTATGTATTGTATGACGAGCAAATGATGGGCGACTTGTTACTTGGCCTAACACATCAACCGAGCCGAGTGGCTAGCAGTGCATGCTACCTTACGGGCTCGAATCGTAGTCAGACCAAAACTAATATAAAGAAAAAAATTAATTTAATTTTCCTTAATGCGCCGCTTGAAACTTAAGCAACTCCGAGTGTATTTCTGACATGGTACAGAGAAGAGGGAAACCATTACGAGGCTAAGCAGCCGATGGAGGGCCTGCTTAAAATGTTTGTTCTTCCAATTGTTGGGAATATTAGCAAACGGAAATCGCCTATTTTTACTTCCACATGTTTGTATTTTAGTAAATATTTTTCGTTATTGTTTCTTTACAACTCGGCAACTTATAATTCAAAGCGTGTTACATTGGAATTATAAAAAATATTGCCTTACAAAAGATTTTTGTTCACACAGGTGTTGATTTATGCAAATAAGATGTTCAATTAAGTACATCGAAAAATTAGCATATACACGTATATATATATATATATATGTGTGTATGTATATATATTATGGCACTCCAATTTACCGCGTTTCCCCTCCCTTTTTCTGCACAAAAAAATATGTTTATAAATCACCTTCAGATAAGAAATATTTTTTTTTATTTATTTTATTAAAAATCAAAAGTTTTTATTGCTTATTCAAAAAGCTCTTTAAACTCTTTAAACCGAATTCAAAAAATTAAGTATATTAAAATTTATTTAATATTTTAGTACAAAACGTTATTTTCTTTAATATACGTAATAAATTGTAGATGAACAATATTTCAATAATTTTTTCACTTTCTAATAACAGCAGACCCACCCTAATACAATTGCTTATACATTTCGATATGTTCATTATGCAAACAAATATTACGATGGCAACGCTTTATGAATTAGAATCACTTAAGCGAGACGACAAATAAAAGCGCATTACAAAAAAGGTATTCACAAGACAAAGTAAAATATATTTACAGACACCTGTGTTGTATGTATATACTCGTATGTATTTACAAATAACGTCTTGTTAAATAAAAACAAATTTTAAACTTTTAATGACAACTAAAAAAATTAAAAAAAAACTTATTTATTAAGACAGGCATAAATTAATTTATTATAATGGTTATTTTATTTAATTTTTTCCTTTAATTCCGTTAGAGCCACTAAGCTTTACTTATTTGGTATATAGGGTTATTAATTTCTTGTTTTCAGAAGTGCAGGGTTGTATTTTGACATCTGTGAAACTTAACTGTCGAACCAAACATGTTTTGCTGTAGTTCAAAGTCAGGTAATTACGCAAAGGGATCGCTCAACAACCGCCCAAGGCGTTAAAATTATTGAAACCTACTTTTGTTGATTTAAGATGAGATTATGGTGCATATAAACGTCCAGGTACGGAAGCAATTGGTAAAAAAAAACTTTAAACGACTGGATCGGTTATAGATATTGTAAGGTTTGTGCATAATCATTCTTCTCGCTCCACCCCAAATATCGGTGCGGTAAATGAATATGTAGGCGAAGACTCGAGGTGCATTGCTCACTCGGTGGGTAGAGATTTTGAAAATAAGCAAAATTGAAGAGAGGCTATTACACCCAACTTACTGTCTGGTGCGCGTTTTGGGCCGTAGGTGTTATTGGAACTAATTTCCTTACTTCAATTTGGCCACCGAGATCGTGCGATTCGACAACGTTGGAGTATTTTTTGTGGGGATACGCAAGATACCGTACTTATGCGGATAAACCTTTAAATCTGGAGTACTTCAAAACTAACATTCATCAAGTTACGTCTGAGATACCGCCCAATATGTGCTTTAAATGTTTTTATATTTATTTTCGAGACCGGAAAATAGATAACCCTGTATATACTCGCACATATATTTATGAACGCACCCTTTCAATTGCTGATAATGAATACTAAAGTGGTTAAAATGTGCGTATAATATATATGAACATTTAATGCAATTGATGCTTTGTACTGAGATTGAAACTTTCAGGGGCCACAGTCTCGAAATGGTGCCACTCATAGTCACATTCGTTTTAATAGCCACCGTCGCTTTCCTAGTACATAAATATTTGACTTGGCATTATAATACATTCAAGAAGTTGGGTATAGCCGGTCCGGAGCCGAAAATTTTAGTCGGCAATTTTCCTGGTAAACAACATTTCGTCTACGAGATCGATGAGATATATCAGTGAGTGTGTGTAAAAATCCTATTGATAATTATATTTTTTTTTAAGAATTAATTCTTATTAATTTTTATTAATTTTTTAATCTCTTCTAAAGATTAATTTTCATAAAAAAAAATTAATTATTTAATAACGAATTTTTTAAAAAATGAAATAAAAGCCAATTCCAAACTCGACAAAGACGCAGCATAAGAAATTTCGTTTTAAAAAAAATTAAATATAAAAATTTTTTTTGAGAACAAGAAATGTATTTATTTGGAATAAAACGATGACTTTTCCTAACCGAAAAGTCTGTGAAAAAATTGCATACTTCATAGAGTGCCAGACTGGTGTGTCGCCTCTTTCATCGCTTAGCACTTTAACAATTCAATCAGGTATGACCAGCCTACACCAGCGAGAACATTGAGGTCTATAATGGTTATTGATATTTTTGTTGTTGCGGTCTAAGTCATCGTAGCGATCCAGCGAGAGGACAACGAAACGAGCTATGCAGACGGTTGGTTGGTTAGTGCCGTGCGGGGTCTCATCACATCCAGTACATAAATTTGTGGGATATGTCGTGATCAAGTCTGGATATGTAGGAATTAAGTCGACTACAATATCCAAATTTTAATTGTGGCAGTACTAAAAGGGTTCCTCGAGGCAAGCTCTTATTAAGCAGTGCTTGGAATTCAAGTAAGCCATTCCATGGAAGGGTGTTCATGAAGTGTCGGAAAGTCCGTGGATGGCGCTTGAAGTCAGTCAACACGCCGCACTGTCCAGCGGTTATGCTGTTACCGATGGGAATATCCCCATAGATTTTATTTCCCAGCATTACATTATACTGCTTAATTTGGAGCACAAATGCTTTACTGTGTAAGTGATGCGTCGATGATCTCAGGAGGTTCTCGTCCCGGTTCTAAGGGTGGTATTTAGAAATGTTTTTAGCTTCTTCATATATGTCTCGCTAGTCGCCAGCGTCCAAATCGGAATCAAATCGATTTATATGTTGCTAGCAATTTTTCTTTGTCTTCACTCCAGGTGCTTCCAGCTAACAATTTGAGGAATTTGTGGCTGATCTGTATTTTATTGGTCATTTCAGTCGTAAGCATAGTAAAGGGGTGCCGGCTGTCGAATATGACTGCCAGTATCTTTGGGTTATTTATTGTTGGAATTCCAACGTCATCTGCTTTATCTTTATTTAACAATCTTTTTTTAACAATCAATTATAGCTGACCCCGGGAACCGAAGAATAGCTGACATCGGTTTACTGGCGATGACGTTTGAAGACTGCAGACGAGCGTTGGATCGTTTTGTAGTGCTAACAAATAAGTCTTCCAAACGAATTGTTTATCTATCGCACAGCTTCTCCCCCACAACAACTGATCAAGTCCACAAGGACTTGAGGGGAAGTAAGGGGATGCCGGCTGTCGAGCGGGCCCACAGTTTTAATAAAAAAAAACACTTTTTTTCAATTTAAAATGGTTCACAAACTTTAATAAAAAATTCACTTAATTTAGTTTCACAACTTAATTTACTTTTACACAGTATTTAATTTAAACTATTTTTTGCTAAATAATTTAGTGTAAGAGACCGCGGTTTAAGGCTGCCGTGCGCGAGCGATGGTTGTTAGACTTAGAGTGTTTTTTCGTTAGCTCGAACGGCCGCCGCTAAGCGGTCGATCGGCTAACGAAATTTGGCCAAAAAGGATAGAGGAATTGGCGCGTGATGGGACACACGGAAATAGTGGGAAGAGACGGGCAATTCCACGCGCACGGCAGTTACATTTATTTAGTTTTAGATCGCTGTTTAAGCAGACGCTTAAACATACTCCCCGCCCTGCAGGGATGCGTTGCCCAACGCA